ATCCCTAATTCAATACTAATGGACAAATATGATTTCCAATTGAAGAAAATTCATTATAAAATTTACAATTATAACTAAATTAATTTCGTATGTTGTATTTTGAAATATTTTAACTAAAAATACAACAAAGACTTGGTCACAACAATCAAAAATATTAACTGATTTGAAACTACAGTCTTGTTGCCTAAATATATTACAAAATATGTCCCAAGACCACAATTCACCAAAAATAGTAAGACACCTCACATTTTTTTAATTCTTGTGAATGTTGCATATTCCTTTTTTGGTCATCCCTAGACAATTCATACATACTATTTTGTTACTTGTTCTCCAAACCTTCCATAGAAAAACTCTATAAATAACCCCCTTGTTAATTTCTTCATTCATTCCTCAATAAATTGAATCTTGCAACACAAAAAAAATAAAAAAAGAATCATTCCGATCTTCTTACATTACATTACGACAATAACTCAATGGACAAACAATACTTAAGTGGAGTGGGCGAGGCCACACCTAGGAGAGAGAAGAAAGTTTTACAGACTGATAGACCCCCGGCTCGAAGGCCACTTCTCGATAAAAGGTGCCCAAAAAGCCGCACAGTTGGCTGCTCGCTGCCTTAGCCGGGACCCAAAAGCCCGACCTCTGATGAGTGAAGTTGTCGAAGCGTTAAAGCCTCTGCCAAACCTCAAGGACATGGCCAGCTCATCATATTACTTCCAGACAATGCAGGCTGACCGTTCAAGTCCCAATGCTAGAAACGGTTTAAGAACGCATGTTGGGTCGTTTTCGAGGAACGGGCAGCAACATCCGAGGAGATTACTCCACACTAGAAGTACCTTAAATTTGTGTAAACTGTAGAAATTTAATGTATAAAGAGAAATAGAGAATTGTATTATTGATTGATATTTATGTTATGGTTACAATGATTCCTATATATAGGAGAGGGTGAGTGTGTAGTAGGTAATGAGTAGGTGAAGTGGAGGTGGTAGTGTTGTAGTGGGTTAGGTTTAGTGGAGTAGGTTTAAGTGGGTGAAGTAGGTGGAGAGTATGTGGATTTAGTGGGTTAGGTTTAGTGGAGTAGGTTTAAGTGGGTGAAGTAGGTGGAGAGTATGTGGATTTAGTGGGTTAGGTTTAGTGGAGTAGGTTTAAGTGGGTGAAGTAGGTGGAGAGTATGTGGATTTAGTGGGTTAGGTTTAGTGGAGTAGGTTTAAGTGGGTGAAGTAGGTGGAGAGTATGTGGATTTAGTGGGTTAGGTTTAGTGGAGTAGGTGAGGTGGTAGTGGTGTAGTGGGTTAGGTTTAGTGGAGTAGGTTTAAGTGGGTGAAGTAGGTGGAGAGTAGGTGGATTTTAACATATTCATAAGTTACCTTCATGGCAGGCATGAACATCTCGATGACCCTAGAAGAACAGAATGGCAAGGATTTCCTTCAGGGACTAGAGCGGCTACTGCTGGTTTGTGTTAGAATAGGAAATAATTGACTGTAAGCTTATTTATTCTCTTGATTGATTGCTCAGAATTATGCCTTATGGCACTCCTGTAATTGCTCAGAAGTATCAATATAAAAGGGAATGAAGTCTAACTCATTCCCTAACTCTTTCTCTTCTCTAGAACTATATGGTATCAGAGCCTAAACCCTAGCCCACACCTTTTTCCTGTCTGCCGGCAGCTCTTTCTTCCCCAGAAGCCCAGTTGGCCACAGTAGCCTCTCACCCAGGCCATCGTCTGTCATCCCATAGTCCATCCAAGCCATCGTCAGTCCACTAGGGGGTCTGTCCGCAGCTTCTCTGGCACCCTAGGTCCTGTCGACAGCCCCTCTGGATTCCTTGGCTTCTGTCGGCATCTCCTAGGCTGCCGTCGACTCTCTCTCAATTGAATAGTCAGTGTGTTCTTCTCTCTCCCTCTTGACTTGTAATGGTTCGTTTGTTACATAAAAAAAAAAAAATGTTTCTTACTTCTTTATGAGTTTCTAGTTATTATTGTGCTTATCCCTCCACTCTCATCTTCTAGGTTTGTGATTGGCATTGTGGTTGAGGAGTAGTTAGTAGCATCCCATGGCAAACCCTTCTACTATGATTGATACCCTTTACGCTGGCCTTAGAATCACCACATCTCTATTCAATGGTCAGAATTATCTAGCGTGGTCGCAGAGTTTGACTATTTTCTTAAAGAGCAATGGGAAGATGGGATATGTTAATGGGCGGGTTCAGGCACCTGTATCACCGACCCTCATTATGACCAGTGGGAGATCACTAATTCTTTGATTATGGGTTGGTTAATCCATTCTATGGTTCCGGAGATTGGAGAGGGCTACTTGTCTATGGACACTACCCAGGATATTTGGGAGGCCGTAGCAACTACTTACTCCAGGAAGGGGAACTTTTCAAAGGCTTTCGAGTTATGTCGCTCTATTGAATGGATGGTACAAGGTGAGAAGACTATCCTCTAGTAGTTTATCTTCCTTAGCAATGGGTGGAAGCGGCTTGATCACCTTCAGAATTACAAGCCTGTCTGTCCCACTGATTCTGCTAGTTACCAGAAGTTTGTGGCGCAAGAACGGGTCTTCAAGTTCTTGGAAGGCCTAAATGTGGAGTATAATCCAGTTCAGAGCAAAGTACTTGGCATAAATGTGCTTCCTTTTCTCCAGGAAACCTTTGTTTTTGTGCAAAATGAGGAGAGTTGCCGTTCTATGATGCTTTCTTCTACTACTACTGATCGCTCGGCCTTGGTTTCCGCACCCTCTCCTGATGGCGACTATGTGACTCGTGGTTTTCGTTCTTCCTTTGAGAAGGATAATCTTTACTGTGACTACTATTGTCGACCTCGCCACACACGAGAGACTTGTTGGGAGCTGCATAGCACTCCCTCTGGTGGCCGAGGCGACCGTCCTGGTACTCGAGGGGGTCAGTTTGGTACTAGAGGCTGCGGGGCCAATGCACGAGCCCATCTTTTAGACATTATTGCGCCACCATCTTCATCTCCAGTTGTCTCCTCCGTTGCTGATGTTTCGAGGTTATCTGCCTCGGATTTTGAGATTGCTCTTTGCCACTTGCTAGATCGTTGAGCCTCCATTTCTGCTACAGGTGCACTCTCTTCTTCCTTTGCCAATTCAGGTAACTTAGCTTCCTCCCCATGTGCATTGCTATCTCATACGACTGTACCATGGATTATTGATTCCGGTGTTTCTGACTATATGTCTGGCTCTTCTAATTTATTTTTAGAGTATAACCCCTTCTCAGGTCAGGAAAAAGTGCGTATTGCTGATGGTACCATTTCCTTTGTGTCAGGAAAATGTTTAATTCATGTCACTTCTTCCTTTCCTTTGTCTTTTGTCATTCATGTTCTCAATTTTACCGTTAATCTTTTATCTTTGAGTCGTATCACCCGTTACTTAAATTGTAACGTGACATTTTTTCCTGATCATTGTCTTTTTCAAGACCTTATCACGAGGAAGAGGATTGACAGTGGTAGAGAGAAACATGGGCTCTACATTCTAGATTAGACAGACAAGCTGACTCATTAATCTATTTAGTTACCATCCACCAAGGAAGACAGTTGGATGTGGCACCGTCACTTAGGACATCCCTATTTTTTATTACTTAAGCATTTATTTCCCTCTGTTTTGGAGAAAAATAATGTGTCAGATTTTCAATTTGAGTCTTGTCAACTTGGAAAACAACACAGAGTCTCTTTTGCTCCTTCTATTAATAAAAGTTTAGTTCTCTTTTCTTTGATTCATTCTGATGTATGGGGTCCATCCTGTTTTGTGTCTTTAACTGATCAAAAATGGTTTGTTACCTTCATAGATGATTGTTCTAGGGCCACTTAGGTCTATTTGATGAAAGATAAAAGTGAGGTTTTTTCTGTGTTTTAAAACTTTCATAAAATGGTTTGTACTTAGTTTGGGGCGGTTGTCAAAATTCTACGTTATGATAATGGGGGGAATGTATTGGCTCTGGTCTTGTCACTTACTTCGCAACACATGACATTATTTACCAGACTTCATGCACTAATACCCTTGAACAAAATGTTGCTGCGGAACGCAAAAATCGCCATCTCTTTGATGTTGCCCATTGTCTATCCTTTGAGATACGGGTTCCTCGATCTTGTTGGGGGGAAGCGGTTCTCACTGCCGCTTATTTGATTAATTGTCTTCCTACCCAAGTCCTTCAAAAACAAACACCTTTTCAAGTTTTGTTCGGGTCTCTCTCTTTTGGGTTCTCCATTGCTCCTAAGATCTTTGGCTGTGTTTGCTTTGTCCATAATCATTCTTGGTAAATTGGATCCTAGGTCACTTAAGTGTGTTTTTCTGGGTTATTCTGCCACCCAAAAAGGTTATGTGTTATCACCCTCCCACTCGCAAATGGTTTGTCTCCATTGATGTCACGTTCTTTGAGTCTTAGCCTTACTTTCCGCCTTCCCCGGTATCTCAGTCATCTCTTCAGGGGGAGCCTTGGCGTGAAGAGATTCTTTTTCCGCCTGTTTCTTTTCCGCCAGTGGTTGAACAGATAGAGGATGATGAGCTAGCAGTTGTTGAGGACAAGGAAGCAGGCAAAGTTTATATTCGGGACAAGGACAAACAGCAAGTCACTTAGATACAAGAGCCTACTCTCCCTAAGAGTCCAGGTAATTCTAATTCTAGTACTCCTATTCTTGATGTTCCTGATCTTGATGTTCCTATTGCTAATAGGAAGGGAGTTAGGTCATGTAGTCAGCATCCTATTACTAATCATGTCTCTTATTTTAATCTGTCTTCCTCATATAAAGCCTTTCTGTCTAAAGTATCTTCTGTGAGTCAATCTACCACTTTTCACGATGCTCTCTCTATTCCTGAATTTAAACATGCCATGATAGAAGAAATGCAAGCTCTCAGCAAAAGTGGCACTTGGGAGTTGGTAGAGTAATAGAGGAAAAAACCAGTTGGGTGTAAGTGGGTGTACACGGTAAAACAGAAAGCAGATGGTTCCATAGAGCGTACAAAGCAAGATTGGTTGTTAAAAGCTTCACTCAAACTTATGGAGTAGATTACCAGGAGACATTTGCACTGGTTGCTAAGATGAACTCTGTGAGAATCTTACTCTTTCTTGCTGCCAATTTGGATTGGTCACTTCATCAGTTTGATGTGAAGAATGCCATCTTTCATGGAGACCTAGCAGAAGAGGTCTATATGGATATTCCTCTTGGTTTTGCAGATGCCAAGTCCAAAGATAAAGTACGCAGGCTCCGAGCCGCTTTATGGACTAAAGCAGTCCCTTAAGGCTTAGTTTGAAAGGTTTGCTCAAGCTATGCTGAAATATGGGTTTAAGCAGAGTCAAGCTGATCACACCTTGTTTGTGAAACACTTCTCACATGGTAAGACCACAACTCTCATTGTTAATGTTGACAATATTGTTTTGACAGGGAATGGCGTTGAGGAGATCCCTCGGTTGAAGGAATATTTAGTCAAGGAGTTTGAAATCAAAGACTTGGGTAGTTTGAAGTATTTCTTAGGTATTAAAGTAGCTAGGAGCAAGGATGGCATCTTTATATGTCAGAGAAAGTATGTGCTTGATTTGCTAAAGGAAACTAGACTGTTTGGAGGTAGACCATGTGATACACCTCTAGAACCAGGCTATAAACTTAGTGAGGATCAAGAGGGAGAGCCAGTGGACAGGGGGAGATACCAGAGACTAGTGGGTAAGCTCATATACTTATCCCACTCACGTCCAGACATTGCCATTGCCGTGAGCATGGTGAACCAATTTATGCATGCTCTTAGAACTTCCCACTTAGAGGCAGTTATGAGAATCCTGAGATACCTGAAGTCTTCTCCTGGAAAGGGTCTCTATTTCTCAAAACATGACCATCTCAGTGTTGAGGCATTTACTGATGCAGATTGGGTAGGATCAGTCACTGACATACAATTAACTTTTGGATACTGCACATTTGTTGGTGGCAACCTAGTCACTTGGCAAAGTAAGAAACAGAATGTGATTGCTCGATCAAGTTCTGAGGCAGAATTCAGGACTATGGCTCAGGGTGTATGTGAGTTACTATGGATTAAACTATTGTTAGGAGACTTGGGAATTCATCAAACTAACTCCATGTGACTATGCTGTGACAACAAGGCTGCAATCAACATTGCTCATAATCCAGTTCAGAATGATAGAACTAAGCATGTGGAGATTGATAGGCACTTTATCAAGGAGAAACTTGCTAGTGGCACCATATCTATTCCATTTGTGAAGACTATTCCATTTGTGAAGACTGGGGACTAACTAGCTGATGTTCTCACCAAGGGACTAGGAAGCAAATCCTTTCATGGCATTCTCAACAAGCTGGGCATGAGAGATATCTTTGCACCAGCTTGAGGGAGAGTGTTAGAATAGGAAATAATTGATTGTATTCTTATTTATTCTCTTGATTGATTGCTTAGAATTATGCCTTATGGCACTCCTGTAATTGCTCAGAATTATCAATATAAAAGGGAATGAAGTCTAACTCATTCCCGAACTCTTTTCTTCTCTAAAACTACAGTTTGTAGATCTTGGTCCTTTATATCTAGTCTTGCTTTGATCATCTTTAAGAGAAGATTTCGTAGATTTCTCAAAAGCTAATGCTTTAAAAACCTTTTGAGTACATGTCTCATTCTATAATAATTCCTAACCCTATTGGTTACCTTATATATACAGAAATAATAATTCATTTCTTTGTTGTATCTAATTATATTTGGTCGTTGACTTTGTAAATCAAACTTTTATTGGCAACATGTAACTAACTACTTAATTAACTTCGTTTATACAGGTGGGTTAACAACATTGGTTGACATGCCTCTTAATAGTTTTCCATCTACAATTGCCGAAAAAGCTTTTGAACTCAAGGTATGGATGGTTAGCACCATTAGTTTTTCATTTTTCACCATGGAGACTGCTTAAAGTTAAAGCATGCTTATATCTTTATGTTTAGCTCTTCAATTTTCATTTTAAAAATCATTATAGTAAGCTTGCAATAATCATCATAAGCCTATCTCAACTCACTTAAAGAGAAATTTTGGCAAGGAAATTTGGAACAATTAAAAAATCAGACTTGGTTGGATTTTAAAAGCCTATTATTGATGAAAACTTGTAGTGAAGTGACCTTGAAGATGGTGCAATTTATAGTTCTATGAGATGTCTAATAAAGTTTCAGATTCTGTTTTTCTGCAGAAGAATTGTATCAACTACAGGCAGTAATGGATTCTTTTTGACGTGAATAGTCTCCCACCAAAAACAACCCATATCCTGCTAAAATAAGAAAGAAAAAATCCTACCAAAACAGCTTGTATCATTTACTCAATTCCATTCATAATGATGATATTGGTTACAATTTACAAAAAATAAATTATTATGTTGCTGCCCTTTATGGAGAGCGAGAGAGAGAGAGAGCAGAGAGCAGCGGCACATTTTGAGGATCCAATCTGGTTGCCATCAGCGAAACCTCCTGACAACCCATATAGGAAGGTATTTGCATCACAAATAACTAATCAAAGGTGTATTTAGTCAAATTAATCATTGTACTATTCTGCCAATTATTTGAGTGGATCGAGTTGATAGCTCACACATAACTTCTCATATAAAAGAACATTTAAATACTTCTCTTCTTACTCTTTGCCAATTATTTGTAGTGCTAGCTCTTTTAGTACGATCAACGCCAGTGTTCTTGGTTTAAAGGTAGGGAATTATCCGTATTCTTTTTCATTCCCTTTCATTTAATGTACTACTTGTTGCTACAATGTTGCTCAATACCTGCGATATCAGAAAACTTTTTTTTTTTTTCTTGGCTTGATTGCCAATTCTCTTTGATAATCTGTGTGCATGTGTTATTCTTTCCCATTCTTCCAGTTGTTGGAGAATCATGTATTAAATCTGACATTTTTTGCTCTTTGCTGTAGTCCTTTATGTGTCCTTTGGGGATCAATGACTTTCCCATGACAAATGCTGACCATATTAAGGTGCGTTTGGTGATATTTAGACCACATATTACAATGACTAATTGTTTTTCATATGAAATAAATGACGGTGTTATTTGCTGCCACATCTTTGATGTTTACTGATGCATTTCCAAATTTATCCACAAGTTCACAGATTATTTTTTTTATTTTTTTTAATGTACAGTGCAATATACATTTTTAAAAAAAAAAAAAACTTTGATGCACACTCATGTCCCCTCTCATCGTGCACCATTTTAACAGTTGGCTGATTTAATTTAATTTAACACACACACCCCCCCCCCCCCCCCCCCCCACTTTTTATGTTTGGAATAGAATTTTATATCTATAAGAACAAAGAGAAACTCTAGCATACCTTAATTAGATCTAAGGAAGATCTCGCATCAGACAGATGAACAATGTGAAGATGAGCTCCTTCAGCAGGGCCACCAGCCCTTGCGTCGTTTGCTACTGTTAAGAGCTCTCTATTAGCTGCCTCTTCCTTAGTCATCATAGTAAAAATGAGCGGAAGGAGAACATTATCCATTATTTATTTATGAAATTAACATAAATCAAGCAAATCATAGTACATAAATACATTATTTTAAAGGCTGCTAGTTTTCAGAGTCATATTTGTTTTTTATCTACTTCTACCTTCGAAGTATGAAACGAATGCCTCGTGTGAATTTTAGGATGAATGTATTTACATACTATGATTTGCTTGATTTATGTTAATTTCATCTTAAATGGATGGATAATGTTTTCCTTCCGCTCATTTTTACTATGATGACTAAGGAAGAGGCAGCTAATAGAGAGCTCTTAACAGTAGCAAACGACGCAAGGGCTGGTGGCCCTGCTGAAGGAGCTCATCTTCACATTGTTCGTCTGTCTGATGCGAGATCTTCCTTAGATCTAATTAAGGTATGCTAGAGTTTCTCTTTGTTCTTATAGATATAAAATTCTATTCCAAACATAAAAAATGAGTTTTAAATAATAATAAAAAATGAGAGTTTTAATAAAGTAAAGATGTGCTATTTGTAATAAAATTGAAACTGGGACCCCCAACATTGCATCCCAGCTATTATTAGATGACCCCTGTATTAAATTCAAATCTAGAAAAGGTCAAGGTCCAATCCAAAATATTATTGGGACCACCTTTAGGCTCTGGTTATTCATCTCTTTCTCTCTTTTGGATCAATTTCCAAATTTTTACTACACACATTTCTGAAGAGTTCTATCAAGAAACAATGTTTCAAAATAATCTTCTACCAGGCAGATGAATTTTAGTTACTTTTTAAATGAAGTATAGTGGAAAATGATCTAAAAATTCTGAAAATGGAATTTTTCTAAATCCATAGCCTCATTGTTACTTGTTCAAAGTTTTGGAAAGTTTTACCAGTACTTTTATGAAGAATTAAAGATTCTATTCTCATTTCACTTCCTTGTTTGTCTAGGAAGCAAAAAGTGGTGATAGCAATGGTGATAGCACAACTATTGGATTTGGAGCATTACCACATCAAAAGTCATTGCACAGGTATGGATAGTTTTGGATATGACTTTGATGAATGGATTTCTATAATCTTTGGATAGTTTTGGATTTGTTTAAAAACCTAGATAAGAATAGAGTTTTTGGGTTGTTTAGAACTTTTTGGATGGTTTTAAACTTAAGGATAGTTTTTGAAGCTTCACGAACATAGTTTTTGGATGTTTGGCATGTATAAACAATTGTTGGATGTTCTTGATTGGATATAATTTGTTTTTGATATTTTAAAACAATATTTTGGTGATTGATTGATGCTTTGTGAAGCTTGTTTATAATGTTTTCTTAGATTATATAGAGCAAGTCAAATAGAACCTGCCGAATTAAAAAGTACATATACATATTCTACGGCCAGCAAAAAAGTCCGTTATATGAAATATTCAACAAGCAAAGAGTGTTGTGGTTTGTCCCACGAATTAATAGCGTGCAAAAGTAGTAGTAGAAATCTTAATACACTTACACACAAAATATACTGTTTAAGGTTTTTTAACGGCGTACTGTGACATGCCATTGGAGTGAATGACTTTCCATGATTGGTTATTATACAACTTTACATCGGGCGTTGTAGAACCATCACCATGGCGTGCATTTCATGTCGTTAAAAGTGAGTATTATAAATATAAAATTTCATTCTCATGCCAACACATTTCATCTTCACAAAACTAAATGATTTTATCTATTTTTCTCAACACATCATTTCATGGAAATCCACTTATTGAAACATCATGTGATTGTATTCTACAATATTTTTTCATGTCGTATTTCAGGTCTTCTTATACTTCATCTTGCATTCGAATTCTCGTCATCATTCCAAATTAGGAATATGTTTCACTGGGCAAGCCAAAAATTGTTAGTAGAATTTTTGTTAGGCTTAGATCGACAGAGACTTAATTAAAATCTCACCAAACAACATAATGATCAAGCAATTGTGTTGAGGTTTTATGTCTTGAAAGTTTCAAGGACTTCCTTGGAGTAAAAATAATGACAAAACAAACAAGAGAGAGAGAGAGAGAGAGAGAGAGAGAGAGAGAAGATGATGATGACGTAAAATGATTGAATAAACAATCAAGTTACAAATAAAATACATTAAGACTACTCCTATCTAAGTTTGAACTACTCCAATGTAGATTAGATCTACTCCTAATATAGAAAAGAAATAAAAATCAAGTCATGTATTTGATTTGTTGGTGCCCTCTACAATAGAGCCATCAATGGCAATTTATACAAAGAAATGTAGGAAAAAACTTCTATTAACCATCAATATAACTTCCACCTTTTTACATTGTCATTTGTCCTCCATCCCTTGAACCTTCAAAACTTGACTTAACTTCTCTTAATTTTTAAGATTTTCCTGCATAATCATAATAATAATAATAACAATAATAATAATAAGTAATAGAAAGTTTAAACATAGTCATATTCGATGGAAAATTTATTTATGGTGCAAACAATGCCCTCCAACTCTTTTAGAATGAGAATACTCAAATTCTTGAAGAGTTGTATGAACATAAATATATAATATAAACTGTGAAAATTATAATCGATTGGCCATATATATAGTTTTTTTTTTTTTTTTTTTTTTTTTTGTGGCCACATCGAAATACTCCTCCATTACTCTTATATAAGAAATAGAAATAAAATTCAGAATTTCTTTTCGTAAACCACTTCATCAAAATTAATTTTTGATGTGAACCACAAAGCCATTCTTGTTGTTGGATGACAGAAATCATAATGTTAATTGACTTTAGAAAATTAATTTTTTTAACAAAATTAACAATGTCAAAAAGTTGAAATTCATCAAATGTGGGTTGTTCATAATTTGTAGCTATGTTTGGCTTAAAATCATACCCACTAATTGGATTTTCACCATCATTTTGTGATGATTCATCGAATTTAGCAATGTTTGGCTAAAAATCAGGCCCTCTAATTGGATTTTCAACATCATTTTGTGATGGTTCATCAAATTTAGCCATGTTTGGCTTAAAATCATGCCCTCCAATTAAATTTTCACCATCATTTCGTGATGGTTGTTCAATAGTCTTTGTCATATTTGACTTAAAACCATACCCTCTAATTGGATTATGAACTTTAAAATGCTCAATATCCTTTTGGCAAAAGAAGTTGGTCTTCTTTTTCAATTAATGGCTTGAAAAATTGCCCCCCAGCCATGCCATTTTCGAAACTTAATTTTTTCTAGGCCATGGTTTCTGTGGATGGAAAGTTTTGCTTAGAAATGTCTCTTAGTAACTCATAAAATTTGTGCTTTTTAAGATTCTCTAATTTTTTACTCTAATGTTGAATTTCTCCATCAACTTGATAAACTTGACAACTAAGTTGATGAATTTTTCCATCAAAGTAATTTATATTTTTTTGCATCAAATAATATGGTGGTGATGAAATTATTTGAAATTTTTTCCAATCAAGAGAATTAATCGCTTTTCTTCCAATCTAAAAATAAATAAATAAGTTAATTCTATACCCTCTCCCTTCCTCGCTTTCTGGCTTTCTGGCATCTGATATCAATTCTTTTTTTCAGGTCCTCAAGATGGCGGTTACAGATGCTGGCCACCAGGTCGTGGGTTCGTTTCTCTCGGAAAGTTTACAACAGCAAGTATGGTTTGTTTCTTTGTGTACATAATATGATACTTGACCTCATTTGTCTCTAATAATGAAAATACAATTTACAGAGCCGAGGCTGTGGATTTCAACAATTTGATATGAGACTAAATTTGTTGACCATAATGTTTAATTTATAATTTTGGAGCAAAATGCGTCCTTTCTATTTTTCTCATTTATGAAATCTCTAAAAAAAATTTGATGATTAATTACTGTTCTTTCTGATTACTTATTTTTGTTTTTGAATATTTATTTTCATAATATTTTCCTTTTTCAACTTGTTTATATTGCATATTTCTCAGGCATGATTCCTGAGCTTTGATTTTTCTCAAGTAAAGTTTTGTTATATATATATTTTTTTCCTGTGCTCATTATGCTCAATCCTGCAGTTTAGCAAGCTTCTAGCATCGGTCATGAGGATTCTTAACGTTATGCAGGCATCTACGCTTGACTATCAGTTCATCATTCTGCCCCTTCTGAAGTCATTCATGCGGGTTTGACTTTTTAATGCAGCATAATTCTCTGCAATGTTATCCAACTTTCTTGGATCTAAATTTAAGTTAGTCAGAATTTTTCTATTCCAGGAACTATTTGAGGTTTTGGTCAACAAAGACACAAAGAAGAAGGCAGATGCTGCAAGAGAAGCACTTTTATCAGAGATTGAACTGGAACCCAAGAAGAAGAAAAATTTTGAGTCCAAGAAAAAGAATAAAAATCAGAGAAAGAATAAGGATCCAAAGGTTTTTAACTTTAGACTCTGGTTGTGTTTTTTACCATCAAGGTTGCTGTCATGTATGTCTTACATGTTTTGTACAAGTTCAGTCTAATACTCATAGCATTGCAGGTTACTCAAGGTGATGACCTGTATGTACCGCAAGAGGAAACTGAAGAACAAGTGCAAGTCCTCAATTGTCTCTCAGCCGCAGATAGCACTGTAGAAAATTATTAAAAGATCACAGCTTTTTTCTAATATTGGCTCTAATGCACATTTTAAGTTTAATCTGGGTTTTCCATCTTTGTCTTCCTCCAGTCACTTTCCTGTTAGCTACAATGGTGATTATCCTAGTTCTGTGATTGTTGTTGCTGCAAGAGCTGATGGATGGGCTACAGGAAGAGGAACTTAAGCATGAAATTGAGCATGATGTGGAGGAAAGAAAGCTCGAAGAGAAGTTGGAGTATCAAAGGCAGATTGCGGAAGAGGATAAGCATACAAATCTAGCCAAGCAAAATAAGCATGCAGTTGCATCCATAGCAGAGGAGGTGGAAGAAATGGATGTCGCTTGCGCCACTGACTTAGGGTCAGGATTGAGAAATGTTGGTGAAAACAATTGCTTTATAAATGTGATTGTACAGGTTGGTGTTCTGTTCAAAGAGTTTTCCTTTTTTGGGGGTCTCGGTATAAATTTCATTTTCTATCCCCTTTAACCAAAATATGATAATGAATTCATTTTATCAACCTTTTTGTCAATATGCAGTCTCTCTGGCATTTAAGAACATTTAGAGGCAAGTTTTTGAGAAGATCAACACCTGCTCATGCTCATATCAAAGATCCCTGTATTGTTTGCGAATTACATGGTATTTTCACTGCCCTAAGAGAAGCTAAGGAAGGAGATGATGCTGCTTCTCCTACCACTTCAAGAATTGCTCAGAGCAAATGGCAAGATGGTAATTTCCAGGGTGTAGACAATTTTGATGGTCTTGTCATCATATTTTCACCCTTCTTCAAAGTGTTATAAATTTAGACGCCACTTCTGTTTCCTATGCAACTTCGGTTGCTGATTTGCTTGATTTTACAGGGACAAAAGAATGATGCTTCTGAAGCTATTTTGGATGTTCTTCATTGGTCATTTACTTTTGGTTCTGATACTAAAATTACCGGAAGTAGTTACACAGACTCGGAATTGTGATAGCGATGCTTGTATAGCACATACAGTTTTTGTAATGAACATAATTGAAAAACCGAACTGTAATGCTTGTAGTACTGCTGAATCCCGACATATGAATTATCTTTGGAAATGGACAAATGCGTCTGCAATCAGACAATTGAAGGCATGTTTTTTCTGAAGCATTTTATGATAAATTGTCAATTTTTCCTGTTATAGCGAAAGAAAAGAAAAGTCCATTTTAGATGTCTTTTAAAGTTGTGTTATTTCCCAACTCAGCATGATCATCCGAATGAGCTTTTGAAACGCGATATAAGGGAAAAACATCAGAATAGTCGTGGCGACTGTAGCAAACGAAACATTCTTCACTGCATTCTTTCAACTCCTCCACATGTTCACAATAGGTAAATTATAAGTTGTTGGAAAATATTTCATTACGCTTTGTGTACTTTGTTTACTAGTTTTTGATTTGTTAATTGCAATTCTTAGTTGGGAGAATCTTGAAGAGCCTGCACATAAAATATCTGCAACATTGGGATCTCTGAGTACCAAGATAGATATTGGTGTCATCTACGAGGGTTTAGATCCAGGAAACACACATTATCTTATTTCAATGGTAAACTTGCCTTCGCTTTATACTCTTCTATCATTTAGTTCCATTTTTCATGAAGGATTTAGTAAACAAATTTCCCCAAGTTCTATTGCTTATGGGCTTCATTTAAAGTTACTTTTTCTTCTTCTTGTGAAATGTTGGTTTAGCAGAATGATAGAGCTGATTTTTTTTTTTCTCTTTCCATTTTATTGAAGAATGTCTTCTTGCTTGATTGATACTCAATTCTCATTCTTTCCCTGTAGCATAGCAAATGCACTATTACTAGTTTGGCATCACTATTTATATTTTTGGACTAAATCAATAATATGACACGAGCAGTTTATGTCATTAACAAATTTCTTTTTAGGTTTGTTATGGCCTAGAGCACTACATCTGCTTTGTTTACAACCGTGCGAAAGAAAATTGGATTTTGTATGACGATGATAAAGTGAAGGTACATTCAATTAAGTTACAAGATTTTATTCTTATATCTTACCTTTCATTTAGTTTGTGTAATTTATGTTTAAATTTGAACAGGTTATTGGTAGTTGGGATGGTGTTCTTGCCATGTGTTCAAGAAAGCGTTTGCAACCCTAACTTCTATTTTTTGAAGTGAAGGGAAGTATCTCTGTAACACCTTTGGAGGAAACCAAGGTGCCTGACAATCCTTTAAGCAACCTTTTTTTAAAGCTAGGCTATCCTGAATATCATTCTAATCTATAAAAAATTGAAAAAATAATAAAATTGGCATGCTATACATGTTGACACGACATCTGCAAATTTCCAGAACTTGTTTGGGTGGTTATATTCCCAAAGAAATATGTAGCAATGAAAAGGGCTTTATGCCTACTTATAAAGTGACTTATTATGTATTACATACAATTATTGTTGTTTACCATCTAAGGTTGTTTTAATGTCATTATACATCTTAAGATATAGATAAAATGGGGCATATACAGGCAAGTGCTTGTGTTTTGGATTGTTGCTCTTTCATGGGTGGGGAAATTTGATCCGACGAAAGATTCTCTGAATAACTAACAAAAAAAATAAAACAAAATAAAATTGACGAAGTAAAATAAAACCAAATAATGAATTGAGTGTTCCATATTCCTTCTGAAACATAAATGAGGAAATATGAGCTTGCCATATTGAGAGGTAGCTAAAGGAGATTCCGGACTTCTAAAATTTATATTTATTTCATTTACTCAAGTAGTTGAAAACTATGGAAGGGCCTTTGCTCGGATTTCTGGTTTGTCCACAATTTTCAGAGATATCATGAGCACATAAGGACCGTAATGAGCCAAAGGGTGCCTTCAAAGCTATCCTTAGGGTTGACTTGATATTTAGAAATATTGATTTAACAGAAACATTAGGGCGAGATTGTTAGATTTTGGTGTAATTTTATATTTTATTACTATTTGTTTGTATTCAATATTCAAATTTGTAGTTTAAATTCTATAAAATTTGTGGGTTTGTGGGTTATTGTTGGTTAGTGATTCTTTAGCTTCTATTATTTGTAGTAAAATTTGTTATTTGTAGCAATATACTTTATAATTTTTTATTTTTATTTTTCTGTAGATATGGATTTGGGTGGTGAACACCTATTTAGTCATTCTCTTCAGAGACAGTCTGATAGTGTTATTTATGTACTTGAGGGTGACTTGGGAAACCATTCCTATGGTTATACCTCCATGCAAAATTGTGTTGAGGATTAAACTTTTAAAATTAGCACACTGGATTATAAAACTGATGAGGAGGCCTTTGAAGGGTTTATCTGCTTGAAGTCTTGCAAAAGGTTATATGTCTTCAATGGTTTCATGTTAGATAACAACATTTTATTAGTAGAAAGATTAGGACCCGACTTGGCAACGTACTTTCAAGATGAATACACAACATTTGTGAGAAAGGGTTAGCCTTACACTCATTGGTTTGAGTTTATCAAGGACAAATTTTGTGCAATTTCAGGTATTGTTTTTCTTCTAATTATTATGTTTAATAATAATATTTTGTAATTATTATTTTTTGCAATTAGTTATAATTGTTGTTATGTAGGGATATGCTCAACGGATTACGGCGCATATATTCATTACAATTTGTGAGTGAAATGAGGGTTGGCGGTACTTCAATAATCAATAATTGTGCGAAACTTTTTTTTATTCATAATCCTAAATCTGGTATGTTTAGCAAGTTATATTTTTTTTATTTTTTATTTTAGACTCTTTATTTTAATAATTTCTTTTCTTGGTATTGAAGTTTTTTTTGTTTTACAGATTTTTTTTTTTTTACGAAGTATTTGACGAGCTTGTTGAACTAAAAGAAATAATCATTGAAATTTTATTGAAGCCGTGTGGTAATTGGGATGGTTCTTTAAAGATGTTGGAAAATTGGTTTCATCAACTGGCTATACCAGGTGATTTGTACTGCTTTGTGTATTTTTTGTGTGATGAAAATTATTTGTAAGTTTTATTTTTATTTTTTCAAAGCTTTGTATTTATTTATATATTTTTCAATTCACTTTTTTTTTTCTTTTTGTTGGAATAATGTTGATTTGGATTGGTTACTTGATAATTCTTTTTTCTAGAATACAATGGAGAAATCTAAGTTCATTCGTAAGTTGGGTAACATTTTACACGTACAACAAAGGTTAGATACCTCTTTTCTTGACAAGTATATACATGAATATCTTCGTGATACTTATGGTATTATTGCACCTTCTGGCTGGGAGAGTTTGGTTCCAAAGTCATGGCCGACTTGGGATGTCTATTGCCGTTTTGAAGCAGATATGAAGAAGGATAGGAGTGACACCAATAGTAATCGGCTTCAAAGTGTTAAGACGTAAAATAGTAAGATACATGTGCAACTTGTTTGAACATGCAAATTCGAGTTTCTCTATACTTGTATATATTTTTTTTTTGTCCTGTGATTTTGACTTTATTAAAAATTAATTTTTCTTTTAAATTTTTGATAGATGTGTGTGAAAAAGGAGAGAATTGTTCAGAGGAAAGACAATATTATGTTTGTGTTTGGAGGGACTGCTCTCCTTTTACGTCGTGCTTGCAATCTCCCCTTTTTTTTTTTTATCTCTTGTCAAATAGTCCCCAGCAATACTAAATGGTATTTAGTGTGTGGTTGTTTTTTGTTTTGGAATACTAAATGGTATTTGGTTATTTATGCAAAAAAAAAAAAAAAATTCAAAAACAAAAAACAACCAGAGACACTAAATACCGTTCAGTATTGCTGGGGCTATTTGATAGGAGATAAAAAAGTGGTGGTTGCATGCACGGTGTAAGAGGCCAGCAGTCCCTCCAAACATATCGTCTTCCATCTAAACAATTCTCTCCTTTTTCACACGCATCTATCAAAATTTTAAATGAAGAATTAATTTTTAATAAAGGCGGATCATAGGACAAATAAATAAATAAAGACAAAAAAATTATATATATACATGTACAGGGAAGCTCGAATTTGCATGTTCAAACAAGTTGCATATGTATCTTATTATTTTATGGCTGACACTTTGAAGCTGATTACTATTGTTGTCACTGCTATCCTTCTTCATATATGCTTCAAACCGACAATAGACATCCCAAGCCGGTCCTGACTTTGGAACCAAACTCCCCCAGCCAGAAGGTACAATAATATCATAAGTATCACGAAGATATTCATGTATATACTCGTCAAGATACGAGGTATCTAACCTTGCCGCACGTGAAAAATATTATCCAACTTACGAATGAATTTAGATTTTTCCATTGTATTCCAGAAAAAGAATTATCAAGTAGGCAATCCAAATCAACATTATTCCTACAAAAAGAAGAAAAAAAAAAATATAAATAAAAAAAAGCTTTAAAAAATAAAACTTACAAATAATTTTCATCACACAGAGAATACACAAAGCAGTACAAATCAACTGGTACAGGCCGTTGATGAAAACAATTTTCCAACATCTTTATAAAACCATCCCAATTGCCACACGGCTTCAATAAAATTTCAATGATTATTACCCTTAGTTCAACAAGCTCCTCAAATACTTCGTAAAAAAAAAAAAATCCGTAAAACAAAAAAAAACTTTTATACCAAGAAAAGAAATTATTAAAATAAAAAGTCTAAAATAAAAAAATATAACTTGCTAAACATACCAGATTTAGGATTATGAATTAAAAAAAAGTTTCGCACAATTATTGATTACTGAAGTACTGCTAACCCTCATTCCACTCACAAATTGTAATGAATATATGTGCCGTAATCCGTTAAATATATCCTTACATAACAACAATTATAACTAATTGCAAAAAATAATAATTACAAAGTATTATTATTAAACATAATAATTAGAAGAAAAACAATACCTGAAAATTGCACAAAATTTGTCCTTGATAAACTCAAACCAACGAGTGTAAGGCTTACCCTTTCTTAAAAATGTTGTGTATTTATCTTGAAAATACATTGCCAAGTCGCGCCCTAATCTTTTTACTAATAAAATGTTGTTATCCAACATGAAGACATATAACCCTTTGCAAGACTTCAAGCAGATAAACCCTTCAAACGCCTCTTCATCAGTTTTATAATCCAGTGTGCTAATTTTAAAAGTGTAATCCTTAACATAGTTTTGCATGGAGGTATAACCATAGGAATGGTTTCCCAGGTCACCCTCAAGTACATAAATAACACTATTAGATTGTCTCTGAAGAGGATGACTGAATGGGTGTTCATCACCCAAATCCATATCTATAGAAAAATAAAAATAAAAAATTATGAAGCATATCGCTGCAAATAACAAATTTTACTACAAATAATAGAAGTTATAGAATCACTAACCCACAAATTTTATAGAATTTAAACTACAAATTTGAATATTGAATACAAACAAACAGTAATAAAATATAAAATTAAACCAAAATCTAACAACCTCGCCCTAATGTATCTGTTAAATCAATATTTCTAAATATCAAATCAACCCTAAGGGTAGCTTTGAAGGCACCCTTTGGCTCATTACGGTGCTCATAATGTCTCTAAAAATTGTGGACAAACCATAAATCCGAGCAAAGGCCCTTTCATAGTTTTCAACTACTTGAGTGAATGAAATAAATATAAATTTTAGAAGTTCGGAATCTCCTTTAGCTACCTCTCAATATGGCAAGCTTATATTTGCTCATTTATGTTTCATGAGGAATATGGAACACTCAATTCAATATTTGGTTTTATTTTACTTCATCAATTTTATTTTATTTTTTTTGTTAGTTATTCGGAGAATCTTTCGTCAGATCAAATTTCCCCACCCATGAAAGAGCAACAATCCAAAACACAAGCACTTGCCTGTAAATGCCCCATTTTATCTATATCTTAAGATGTATGATGGCATTCAAAACAACCTTAGATGGAAAACAACAATAATTGTATGTAATACATAATAAGTCACTTTATAAGTAGGCGTAAAGCCCTTTTTACTGCTACATATTTATTTGAGAATATAACCATCCAAACAAGTCTTGGAGATTTGCAGATGCCGTGTCAATTTTATTTTTTTTTACAAATTAGAATGATATTCAAGATAGCCTAGGTTTAATAAAAGGTTGCTTACCTTGCTTGGCCTTGCCATGGTTGCCAGATCTTTTCCTTTCAGCCTTTCGTACTTCCTTAGGATTGTCGAGCACCTTGGTTTCCTCCAAAGGAGTTACAGAGACGCTTCCCTTCACTTCAAAAAAATAGAAGCTGGGGTTGCAAACGCTTTCTTGAACACATGGCAAGAACACCATCCCAACTACCAGTAACTTGTTCAAATTTAAACATAAATTACACAAACTAAATGAAAGGTAAGATGTAAGAATTAAACCTTGTAACTTAATTGAATGTACCTTCACTTTATCATCGTCATGCAAAATCCAATTTTCTTTCGCACGATTGTAAACAAAACAGATGTAGTGCTCTAGGCCATAACAAACCTGAAAGGAAATTTGTTAATGAGATAAACTATTCTTGTGTCATATTATTGATTTAGTCCAAAAATATAACTAGTGATGCCAAACTAGTAATAGTGCATATGCTATGCTACAGGGAAAGAATGAGAATTGAGTATCAATCAAGCAAGAAGACATTCTTCAGTAAAATGGAAAGAGAAAAAAAAAATTAGCTCAATCATTCTGCTAAACCAACATTTCACAAGAAGAAGAAAAAGTAACTTTAAATGAAGTCCATAAGCAACAAAACTTGGGAAAATTTGTTTACTACATCCATCATGAAAAATGGAACTAAATGATAGAAGAGTATAAAGCAAAGGCAAGTTTACAATTGAAATAACATAACGTGTGTTTCTTGGATCTAAACCCTCATAGATGACACTAATATTTATCTTGGTACTCAGAGCTCCCAATGTTGTAGATATTTTATGTGCAGGCTTTTTAAGACTCCCAACTAAGAATTGCAATTAACAAATCAAAAACTAGTATACAAAGAACACAAAGAGTAATGAAATATTTTTAAACAACTTATAATCTACTTGTCGTTTACACATGTGGAGGAGTTGAAAGAATACAATGAGGAATATTTGGTTTGCTGCAGTCGCCACAACTATTTTGATGTTTTTCCCTTATATCGGGTTTCAAAAGCTCATTCAGATGATCATGTTGAGTTGGGAAGTAACACAACTTTAAAAGACATCTAAAATGGACTTTTCTTTTCTTTTGCTATAACAGGAAATTTTTTTAATTTATCATAAAATGTTTCAGAAAAAACATGCCTTCAATTGTCTGATTGTAGACGCATTTGTCCATTTCCAAAGATAATTCATTTGTCGGGATTTAGCAGTACTACAAGCGTTACAGTTCAGTTTTTCAATTATGTTCATTCCAAGAATTGTTTGTGCTATACAAGCATCACTATCACAATTCCGAGAGTCTGTGTAACTGGTTTCCGATAATTTTAGTATCAGAACCAAAAGTAAATGACCAATGAAGAACATCCAAAATAGCAACCAAAGCTTCAGAAGCATTCTTTTGTCCATATAAAATCAATCAAATCAGTAATCAAAGTTGCATAGTGGTAGGTTCCTACTCATTGCTAATTCTGCGAACAAGATTCAGTTAATCGAGTTGTATTTTTTCTTGGTGTTTTGATCTTCCCGTTCCAGCGGGGAAGGTTGTGCTCGAGCGGAGTTTCCACCTTCTCAGTAGTTTGGCTTGTCTGCAAAAATACTGTGAGGTGTGATTTTACACTTGAGTGTAAGTTCCAGCGCTCGAGCATGGACCTTGGTTTGGGACAGACATTTTGGTGACACCGCAAGGGCGGCCACTAAATAAATGTGCACAATATTTACATTTTGCTTTAAATGTAATTGTACCATCAGGATTATTTATAAATATTTTTTCAAAATGATCCCAAGCACTACTACTTTTACTCCTAGATGATGATCCAACTGTTGTAAGAGGGATATTATAAGGAGAATTAACAGATTCATGTTGTGTGATATATATATCAACTTTGACATAAGCATTAAGAATATTAGGATTCATAGTAATGTAAGTAAAATAATATATAAGAATTAACAATTAATTTAAATAATGTGTAAATACAATCAGTAAAAAATAATAATTAATATATGTGCACAAATAATTAATGAAAAAAATGAGTAGCTAATAAATTTGATTAAACTAATTAATGTTACTGACTGGCAAATGCGATAAGAAATTAGGTTCTTTTGATAAAATTTTATTCTTGCACAATTTAAGGATGACACTTCAAAATTAATTGAGAGTTTAAGAGAGATTGAGAGAATTTAAAAGAGAATTATTTGTTGTGAGATTTATTTTGAAAAATTAAAGATATTTATAGTAGTTTTAAAGAGTGAAATAAATTTATAAATATATATTACCGTTTGAATAATGACCGTTCGTTTGTATATAGCATCGGCCGTTGGTTTGAATTATGACTGTTGGTTTCTTATTACACACACTCTCTCTCTCTCCCTCTCTCCTCTCTTGTTCCATTGTTTCCGCTGCTATAGCATTGGCAGCCAGAGTGCCCACTCCACTTCCACACTCCGTTTCTCTCTCTCTCTCTCTCTCTCTCTCCTCTCTTGTTCCTGTGGTTAGCCTAGGGGTGGGTAAACTATTATAAAAAAAAAAAGTGTTACGTTTGAGTGTTATATTAGAGTATTATAGTTTAAAATTATACATTTACCCAAAATTTAGTAAATAGTTTCTGTACTTTTTTTGAAATATTTGAAAAATCGCACATCCTTTTAGAATATTTGAAGAATCTCATATTTCAAGCCATTTTTGTACTCTTTTTGAAATGTTTTTCAAATAAAAAAAAAAAAAAAAAAAAAAAAAAAAAAAAAAAAAAAAAAAAAAAAAAAAAAAAAAAAAAAAAAAAAACAACAGAGGGGGGGGTTGGGTTGGGCCGCCGTCGGGCTTGAAATTTTTTGGGTTGGGCCGGGCCGGGCCACAAATGGAAGGCCTAGGCTCGGGCTGAAATGGATCGGGTCCACCTCAAACCTTTGGCAGTCTTCAGGCCGCCCACGAACGTCGGACCATTTTTACACCCCTACCTAAATGTACACCAAATGTTCCATTCCTAATTATTTCTTCTAAAACTCCCCGAAACGATATGGCAAATAATTTGAAGAGAATTGATTGGTTTGTTTGTCACATCATTAGGAAGGAAAAAATTAGAATATGTAGCATTGCTCCTTTGATACCCAACTACATAAGTTTCTCCTTCTATCCTATATTAATAGTGTTTTTTTAATTCAAATTTTAAAATACTATTTTATTTTTGTTTTAAATATATTTATAATTACTTATAAGGGATGATCTTGGAACTTTAAACTTTAAATTTTGAATTTTCAAAGTGAATGTGTTTTAAGACAACAAAATTGAAATAATGGACCAACAAATTCGAACAGAGGTAGTACATTGTTTTTTATTTTATTTTTTTGTGACTTTTTTATAAAAAAAATTGCGTCAAGTTTTTTTTAAAAAAAAATCTTTTTGAAGAATTTAAAAGTAAAAAATCTTTAAAAAAAATCCAAAAAGTTAACTAAAAAACTATTTTTTTTTTTTGTCTCCAGTGGATTTTTTAAAAAATATTTATTTTTATTTTTTGATTTGTCTAGTTGAATAGATTAGGAGAAATTATATTTTTAAAAAAACTAGATTTAAACGTTATAACAAAATAAATTCTGAATTTTTTATTTTATCAATTTAAATTATAAAGTTTTGATTTATTGTCAATATAAACCATTTGCCTATTTTCATGAAATAAAATCAATAAAAATAATATTTTAATTATTAAACTCAACAAAAAAAAAAGTATTTTAGATATTTTAAATACTATTTTTTATTAATCAACGTGTTTTTGAAGGGAAAATGTGTTCGACGAGTTTTATATATTAAACGATTTTAAATATTGAGACAGATACTGGACATTTGCAAATGCCGTGTCAACATGTATAGCATGCCAATTTTATTATTTTATTATTTGTTTACAAATTAGAATGATATTTGGGATAACCTAGCTTTAGTGAGTGTTTAAGAAGTTGCTATTTTAGTAGATTATTTTAGCTTTTGACTATTTTAGTAGACTAAAATTTGTGTGTTTGGGAAGATAGTTGATTTTTTTGTAGTTGGATGTAATGTTTGTGAAAGAAAAAGTGAAATGATTATGGATTTGATGTGACATTTTGTCTTATTAGCTATTTTAGCCTATTTTGTTTTTTTGTGAATTTTAGCCACACACACACACAAAAAAAAAGAGGCTAAAATCCAACTTGCCAAACACCCCCCTAATAAAAGGTTGCTTACCTTGCTTGGGCTTGCCATGGTTGCTAGATCTTTTCCTTCAGCCTTTTGTACTTCCCAAGGATTGTCGAGCACCTTAATTTCCTCCAAAGGAGTTACAGGGACACCTCCCTTCACTTCAAAAAATAGAAGTTAGGGTTGCGAACACTTTCTTGAACACATTGCAAGAACACCATCCCAACTACCAATAACTGTTCAAATTTAAACATAAATTACACAAACTAAACGAAAGGTAAGATATAAGAACAAAACCTTGTAACTTAATTGAATGTACCTTCACTTTATGATCGTCTTACAAAATTCAAATTTCTTTCGCACGGTTGTTAACAAAGCAGATGTAATTCTCTAGGCCATAACAAACCTAAAAAACAATTTGGTAATGAGATAAACTGTTCTTGTGTCAAATTATTGAAAATATACATAGTGATGCCAAACTAGTAATAATGAATTTGCTATGCTACAGGGAAAGAATGAAAATTGAGTATCAATCAAGCAAGAAGACATTCTTCAATAAATAAAATGGAAAGAGAAAATAAAAAAATAAGCTCCATCCTTCTGCTAAACCAACATTTCACAACATGAAGAAGAAGAAGAAAAGTGACTTTAAATGAAGCCCATAAGCAACAAAACTTGGAAAAATTTGTCACTAAATCCATCATGAAAACCAATATAAGGACTTTTTACATTTTTCTCATATGTTTAATGACTCCCTCCCTGTGTATGTGTGCTTGGATGTACGTGGTTTTGTGGATGGAGACAACGAAAGTCAACCAATGTGGTTCATGTTGTACAAAAGGTATAATTAAATTAAATAGACAGATTCAGAAAAAGGATATTTAAATTATAAAACAAGAAATCATGGAACTAATTTATGCTGGACATTACATTTTGAAGAACAGAAATATAAAACACATACAACATGGAATAAAATAGTAAAGTAAAAAAAAAAAAAAACAACAGGAAGTAAACTAAAATCTATGTAATGCCATAGTTTCCTTAAAAAGATTCGCCCCAAAAATAATACAATAAATACAACCCATAAGCGGAAGGATAAAAGAAATAATATGACTTCATTCATCAAAGTTCGTATACAAGAGATGACACATGCAATATACATTCTCAAACTGTTTTTCCTGAATCTACAGCATGTATTACAATGATGAGAGAACTGAAAACTAAACAGGTAATCATATGCCCTATAGTCTTACATCTTTCCAAGTCATTGCTTGGTTACAACAAAAGTGAGCCTAGCTCAATACAGTTAAAGCCCTTGGTTATACAAAAGAATACAACAAAAAAAAGAAGCTCTTGCTCCCTAAATGTCCCTCCAAACTATTGCCTTGGTAGAGACATATCACCAACACCTGAAAATGATTTTTTTTTTTTTCAAATAGGGTGAGCCAAAGCCTAGTAGGAATGATCTAACACAATATATGAGATTTAACAAAGATATAAGTATAATGTGCATATACAATGCCTGTAACAAAACATTCACATTTTATATAATCATAAAGTACCAAGTTCATATCTTAATCCATTTTCCTTTAATTCATTTCAATTCATGTGCCAATTTCATTATCTTTCAACAACCCAACTGAGACTACAACTCAGTGGTTCTCCAATCAACATAATTACCGCAAAACACTTCAATCTGCCATTTTTCGAAAATTTCGTCCGCGGGATCGACACCGATGTATATGCTTGGTTTTGGGACTTTCGCCCAGGACACTCCGGCCAACTTAATTTCGATGGAG